TATATATATATATATGTTGTATTAAACAACTTAATAAAAACAAAGTGTCATATCCAATATGACCATCCCACAATGCTCGCTCTCCAACGTAATCTTGACCTACTCTCATATAAAGTATAATCACAACAGTCCAATACATGAAAAAATAAGGGTAAGCTTGTAAAAGTAAAAACCATATCAAATATAAGGAAGGCAAAATAGATTCGGACTCTATGGGCACCCACAAAAATATCCTAATACAAGACAAATAAATACTCGTTTATATAGAGATACGAGTATGCGACAGGTATAGACCTGCAAAATTTAATGGGTGCAGGTGCAGATACGAGTATTATGGTACCCAATCTGTCCTACCCCGTAGTTATATATATATATATATAATAATAATAATAATAATAATAATAATAATACTTAATGATAATTTATATATATACATATATATTATATATTTGATACAATTGAAACACAAACAAAGTCTTAAATAGAGTTCCACTTGAAAGAAAAAGTTTTGCCTAGGAGTATTACTTTTAACTTTCTTGGATGGTGAAAAACAAATGGGATCAAGTATCCAATTTTGCCAAAAATTGCTAAGGATGTTTTGGTAATCCCAATTTCAACCATAGCTCCAAAATTTGCATTTAGTACATGAGGTAGATTTTTGAGTCCTCATCATTCTAGGCACCATGAATTTACTCTAAGGCATACATGTGTGCACAAAATTGGTTTAAACACAAACAAAAAATAATAAATAATTACACTGTTTATTTAATAAAAGTTATTTTTATTTTTTATTGTTGGTTTTAATTATTAATTTAAATTGTCTAATCATTAATTTTCTTGTCATATAGTTTCTATTGTTATTATTGGACCAAAACAATATGTGCAAAAATATGGAGAAGTTGATTTCGATGATGAGATCAGGTGTCTACATACTTGGTTTTTGGAGATTTATAGTATATAATTTAAACCATAATTTTAATCTAACTAATTCCTGTACAATTTTTTTCATAGGTCTTGAAGAATATTGTTAATACATGATCATGATATTGAAAGTTTAATTACAACTTTTATTATGTTGATTTTTTAAAAGATTATTTACAAGAATTGAATTTTTTGTAATCCTTATTAATAAGAATTGTTATGTTAGATTTTTGTAATGTTAAAGACCTGACAAATTAATATTATGTTTGCTTATGTGAAATGTTATCTCTTTATTGATTTACTTACTTTATACATAAGTAAAATGGGGTCGTAGGTACGAGTATGGGTACACAGGTAACCAACATGTACAATGATGAAGATTAAAATTGCTACTCACACGGGTATGAGACTGGGTATGGGTGTTGTTTTTAAACGCGGGTATGGGGACAAGTACTATAGGACTCTATCCAAACCCTATCCATTCTCATCCCTAATCAAATATAAGAAGTAATCAACTTCAAACAACATAAACAACTTTAACAACAAGAATCAACTCCACAATATAAAAGTATCATGAAAAATTGAACAACTTTCAACTTTATCAATATAATAACTTTCACACTTTAACAATTGAAGCAACTTATCAACTTTAAACAACTTAACAAGTTAAATAACTTATGCGTTATTACACATTTTCAACTTTAGAGATCTCCTACAATTTAGTGAGCAGTTTAAGTGGCTTGACTTCATAGTGTCTATTTATATTATAAGCTCAATTAAATAAATTATTTAAGTCTATATTATGAATATTATTTAAAAAAATTATTTTGTTATTTATTTTTAAAAATAACAGGACGCTCCCTTTCACAAAAGAAAAACTCGTCCTCAAATTTTACCTATAATGAAGAACTTCGGGTATGTTTCCTTCATCTTGTTCTACAGCTCCCAAGTAGCACTCGTAAAAGCATCTCCTCCCCAAACATCATTAACTAAAGGAATATCCTTGCCTTTAAGTTTTTTAACCATTCAGTCTTCAACTTTCATTGTAAGGTCTTGATAGTTAAGTTGTCTTTAACCTTAGGATTATCTGACTCAATCACATGTGCTAGATCATGAACATACTTGCAAAGTAGGGACACATGAAAAACACTATGGATTTTTGACAAGTGTGGAGGTAAAGAAACTTGGTAAGCTACTTCATCAACTTTCTTAAGAATTTGATATGAACCAATGAAATGAGGAGTAAACTTTCTAGACTTTAAGACCTTACCAACCTTAGTCCACAAAGTAACTATCAAGAATACATGATCATCTTCTTGAAATTCGAAGCTTTTTCTCCTTTTATCCACATAAGTCTTTTGTCTACTCTAGGTTGTTTTCATCCTATCTTGGATCATCTTAACCTTTTCTATAGTTTGTTGTACTATATCGGGTCCTAACACAAGGTTCTCTCTAGGTTCACACCAACATAAAGGTGTCCTATGTCTCCTCCCATACAAGGCCTTATAGAGGTTCCATCCTAATTTTGGAATGGTAGCTATTGTTGTAAGTAAACTCTATCAAAGGCATAAAGTTATCACAACTACTAATAACATCATACCAAGGGGTCAAGTCCAAAAGGAACCAAGAGGAGTGATGACATATTGCCTTCTAAAGGTCCTATTACAAGGGCAATGTCAAGGAGGATGCAATAAAAATGGTC